AAAATAAAAAAAATTGTCAATATTAGCTGGCAATGATTGGGACCCTTCTGTAAGGTGGTGCATGTGAAGCTGTCCCTTTAAGATGGAGCAATGATTGGCTGGTGGGCTGCTAAGTAAATGGCAGTCTCTATAGGTATGTACTGTGTGCGGCAAGGGATTCAGCTAGTTAGTTATGCTAAACACTTCTAATTCACAACAGGTCTGGTTGGCCGTCTGCTGTCCAAAAGTCTCAGTCCTCATGATTAGGTCCTCACTGATCAGGTCCTCACTGATGCAGGCACACATAGCAATGGGTCTCCCCCTAGCTCTGGACTCTGTTGTTTCTAGTCCTCATCGGTTCTTTCCTTTGGCTCTAAGGACACAGAATGGATACCCAGCTCCGGTCCTCGCACACCAGGCTCTGCTGTATAGACATGCACAGAAACAGGTTCCCACACAGTCCTGCTCTCTTCTCCATGTGCAGGGAATCCTAGGTAATAAAGTCCACAGCACATTTGTCTCCATTTCCTTGCATTGTGCAGTGCCTGTTTAAGGACTATATATGGCATGATCCTTATTGTCTGTTCTATCATCCAGTCTCCTCCTTACAGACTTTCCACTGCTGCAGCCAGCAGGGAAGTGAAAGGAGAGAAGGGAGAGAGGCCGACTGAACACACACAGCTCAGCGCTCTCCTCAGGCAACAACACAGTGGTGGGGGGAGGGGGGAGCGGGCAGAGGATACGCACACAGAGCCGGTGAGCACCTGGCTACATATGTAATCATTCATTGCACCACACATGCGAGGTACCACAGCAAACATCAAAGTTTTAGCAATCATATTATAGCCATTATTTGCAATTAACTTGACAGTGATAGCCTGCAAAGACTTTTAAAGCATCACCTATGAAAAGTTTTAGGTATCGTAGTTTGCATCCATTTTACAGGCATGCACAGTTTTGAGTCATGACATATTTGGTATGTACTTACTCCACACCAGGGGCGGACTAACCATTTGGAAACTCGGGCACTGCCCGAGGGCCCGGGGTCAGTAGGGGGCCCCATGAGATGCCCCTAGTACCTTTTTCATAGGCTTTTTTGAATTTGGGCAAGGACACAGGGGCCCCATGATCCCCTATTGCCCGGGGGCCCCATGAGTTGTCAGTCCGCCCTTGCTCCACACATTATCATCTTTTATATTGTGCTTGTGTGCACTAAAATTCATTTAGTGTTTTTTCTCCAGAAAATTTAGCTTGATAAACAGCTGCGCAAATATTGAGTGACATAAAAAATTATAACAGCCACCATTTTATTTTCTATGGCCTCTGCTTTTAGAAAATATATAATGTTTTTTGGGGGTTCTAAGGAATTTTCCAGCAAAAAATGCTGTTTTTAACGTTTTTGTGAAAAATTAAAAAAACTGCTCCAGATGCAAAGTGGCTAAAGTAAGGAAACACACAACTCTAGTGTTTATGCACTTCCTGCCCTTAGGATGTCCATGGACGTCCTGGGTTGGAGTGGTTATAGTGGGATGATGCCTGCAGCTACAGACATCATCCCAGTATTAAAATTTACAGCAGCTGATTCTCTTTTATGCAGAAGTGATTTGAGTGGCTAAACAGTTCTACATCACTTCTGCAGACAGCGTAAGTGGGTCCCCCCTCCTGCCACCTATCCTGAGCTCAACTGACCGATCACAGAGCCCCGACTGCTCTAGCCGACGGCGGCAACATTACACGAGAGTGGAACTGACATTGTTCCTCCCTCTCTGTAACCCCGGAAACCGGCAGCGACGAGATTTCATCACTTCTGGTTTTCGGCTTTTTCTTTACTGGCCAGGAAAGCAGACAGTGTGTTTCTGATTGGCTGCATTAGAGCCCAGAGGAGAGATTTGGGGTCTAATAGACCCCAGATCTCTCCATAAAGAGGACCTGTCCCACCCCATGTGAAAGCAATAGTTGATTAAAAAAAATTAAGAGGCATTAAAAAAAAAAGTTTCAAATAAAATAATTTTTTTTTTTTAAAAATTAGGTATTATATTGTGTTTATGTGCAATAGAATTTATTAAAGCGTATTTTTTCCAAAAAACTGCTGCGCAAATACCGTGTGACATAAACAATTGCAACACCCACCATTTAATTCTCTAGGGCCTCTGCAAAAAAAATAATATATATATATATTTATATATGTATATATACAGTGGGGATCGAAAGTTTGGGCACCCCAGCTAAAAATTTGTATTAATGTGCATAAAGAAGCCAAGGAAAGATGGAAAAATCTCCAAAAGGCATCAAATTACAGATTAGACATTCTTATAATATGTCAACAAAAGTTAGATTTTATTTCCATCATTTACACTTTCAAAATAACAGAAAACAAAAAAATGGCGTCTGCTAAAGTTTGGGCACCCTGCAGAATTTATAGCATGCACTGCCCCCTTTGCAAAGCTGAGACCTGCCAGTGTCATGGATTGTTCTCAATCATCGTCTGGGAAGACCAGGTTATGTCAATCTCAAAGGTTTTAAATGCCCAGACTCATCTGACCTTGCCCCAACAATCAGCACCATGGGTTCTTCTAAGCAGTTGTCTAGAAAACTGAAACTGAAAATAGTTGACGCTCACAATGCTGGAGAAGGCTATAAGAAGATAGCAAAGCGTTTTCAGATGTCAATATCCTCTGTTCGGAATGTAATTAAGAAATGGCAGTCATCAGGAACAGTGGAAGTTAAAGCAAGTATGGAAGACCAAGAAAAATATCAGACAGAACAGCTCGCAGGATTGTGAGAAAAACAATTCAAAACCCACGTTTGACTGCACGATCCCTCCAGAAAGATCTGGCAGACACTGGAGTTGTGGTACACTATTCCACTATAAAGAGATACTTGTACAAATATGGTCTTCATGGAAGAGTCATCAGAAGAAAACCTCTTCTACGTCCTCACCACAAAAATCATCGTTTGAACTTTGCAAATGAACATATAGACAAGCCTGATGCATTTTGGAAACAAGTTCTGTGGACCGATGAGGTTAAAATTGAACTTTTTGGCCAGAATGAGCAAAGGTACGTTTGGAGAAGAAGGGGCACAGAATTTAATGAAAAGAACCTCTGTCCAACTGTTAAGCATGGGGTTGGATCAATCATGCTTTGGGGTTGTGTTGCAGCCAGTGGCACAGGGAACATCTCACGAGTAGAAGGAAAAATGGATTCAATAAAATTTCAGCAAATTTTGGATGGTAACTTGATGCCATCTGTGAAAAAGCTGAAGTTAAAGAGAGGATGGCTTCTACAAATGGATAATGATCCTAAACACACCTCGAAATCCACGGGGGATTACATCAAGAGGCGTAAACTGAAGGTTTTGCCATGGCCTTCACAATCTCCTGACCTCAACATAATTGAAAATCTATGGATAGACCTTAAAAGAGCAGTGCGTGACAGACAGCCCAGAAATCTCAAAGAACTGGAAGACTTTTGTAAGGAAGAATGGGCAAAGATACCTCAAACAAGAATTGATAGACTCTTGGCTGGCTACAAAAAGCGTTTACAAGCTGTGATACTTGCCAAAGGGGGCAGTACAAGATATTAACTCTGCAGGGTGCCCAAACTTTTGCAGACGCCATTTTTTTGTTTTCTGTTATTTTGAAAGTGTAAATGATGGAAATAAAATCTAACTTTTGTTGACATATTATAAGAATGTCTTATTGTAATTTGATGCCTTTGGGAGATTTTTCCATCTTTCCTTGGCTTCTTTATGCACATTAATACAAATTTTTAGCTGGGGTGCCCAAACTTTCGATCCCCACTGTATATATAAATGTTTGGGAGTTCTAAGTAATTTTCTAAGAAAAAAATGTTGATTTGTACATGTAGGTGAGGAGTGTCAGAATTAGCCTGGGCAGGAAGTGGTAAACAAGATTTGCTCATCCTAGTGCTCCACTTTAAGGCTGGTTTCACACAATTGCTTTGCAGTTTGTAAAGGTGGCCTGAAAGACTAAGGTGTCCGTTTTTGAACCAGCAGTAATAGATCTCTGCTCAGTTCTCCGGCATTGTCAGGAAAACACTGTTCTCCTGTGAATGCCGTTTATGAAGCATATGTAGATCAGTTCTCCAAATGAAGGGAGAACGGTCTACAAACGCTGGAAAACGACTGATTTTACTATAATCTCTTTACGGTAAAAGATCAGTTTACTAAGCAGAGGTAAATTATCTCTGCTTAGTTTGCAGTCCCTCCGATTCTCCAGCTCTGGGCTGGAGAATCTGGAGGGAGAACACAGATCTCCAGTGAAGGGCTGAACATGTTCTCCTGGGTGTCATAAACTGTGAATGACCAGAGAATAGCTGCGATTCAGAGGATCACAGCTATTCTCTGGTGTCATAAACTGACACCCAAATAACAATATTACTGACTACACATGTGCATTCACCTGGAACTGTGAAAACATGACGTTTCTGGGGGACTGCAATCTGGAAACTGTATTGATGACTATTTCATACAGCAGTCATGCAGCTTTTCCAAACTGTGCCATCATCCTGTATATCTGATCAAAATGAAATTTGCTGAGCCTGCTAGTGATCAGTGGCATTAATTATCCACTCAGATCCTTAGACTGCATCCCCTTAATGGGGATTAGTATTTCTAGAAGCTATGAAACATAAAACATTTTTTTATCCTAAAACTCTTCTGACAGTCTAAATCCAATCAATAGATGAGATCTGGACTCCAGGGGCAGTGCCAGTTGTACGAGTCTTCAGATGCCAGGATTCTAATCAGGTACACTTCTTTAGCACACACACTGAAAGGCTTTCAAAGGATCTGTTGAAAGCATTTATTAATACTGGCTTTCATGAAGGGATAAAATTGCATACCACTGTGACAGATAAAATTTCCCGGTGCACAAATACTGAACAGTGACTCATCTCTGCAGCCTGCCTGTTTTTTATTTTTCATTTTCATGATTATACTGCCAAAACGTTTTCTGTGTTTCGCTTACTATATGCATTTTTTTTCATCCCTACAATTAGGACATACTGAAGAATCTGGATGGTTATAAAAAGGCTTTCCAGGAGATCCACCGCTCACGGTCTGTAAACGGAGTCCCAGTCCCAATAGAGCAATTGGAAGACATGGCAGAAAGGTAAAAGGAGAATTTTAGACATTAATTGTCAGTGATTGCTGAGAAATTGCTGCAGCCTTTTGAAATGGAGAGGGGCAGATTTGTGTTAGGATTGTGATAGAATAATCACATATGCGTTGCTATTACTAAATTAATGATAGCCTATTTAAGGGGAAAGAGAATATTTACGTTGGGAATGACTTATTTAGAAGTTGTTGATGATGTTAAAAATGCTTCATACTACAGAGGTATATTGTTCCTTGAAATCTAACTGCAATACAGGTTTGTTGCCTTGGAGATCAGCATTAATGTGTGATAGTATTTAGATTTTAAAGAGCACACGCTTCTTTCAGTATAAAATTACACGACTATTATTTATGGGACTTTTAAAGACTACAGCAGTTAGATTAGTAGATTTTAGATATAGATACACATATTTAAATGGGTAATTCCACCCCAAACTATTTTAGGTATTTTAGGATAAATGAGCCAGCATCTTATCTCTCATGTAGATTCTAGCTGTCAAATTTCCACAGTAGTTTGCTTGTCTGTTCTCTTCTGCAAGGATGTAAGAAGAATGTCACTCCCTCACAGCAGGATTCACAGATGATTAGATTATTCCACAGCCATAGGGAACTTAAATGAAACAGTGAGCTCAATTGAGTGGAATAAATATTTAAGGAACTGCAGGATACCTACTAATGACCACATCTGCTTCATTTCAAAAAAATATTAGAGCACCTTTATAATTCACTATATGTATATTAACAATTACAATGTAGAACATTTTATATCAGAGGAAGGGTCAATAAAACATTTAACTGGGGGATGCAGCTGGAAAATTATATAAGGAAGTTTCTTTTATTAACTGGATAACAGCTGGGACCTCAACTTATTCAAATCCTTAAACAAACTAATGGCTGCAGGAGTTACCTAGAACTTGGGTTTCTTGCACTAAAGTCTGGAGTGATATAACAAGCCAGCATGTGACTCGCCTTGCCAATGTAACTTTGAAGTATCAGTTGTTACTGCCGTTGGTCTTAAAGTGGTATTTAACCTATAAACAACATTTTAATATATTGAAGTGTGCACATTCTTACAAGGTTTTAACAGACCAAGTTGTCCACAAAAAGTGTCAGTTAGAGGGTTGAAACAAACCATTTAACACTGACAGGGGTGCTTACAATGGTTAGCCTTTATTTATTTTTTTATTTTTGTAAAACCTTTATCCCGAAAGGAAAAAATACTGTTGTTGTAACTGCTTAAAAAATGTTAGCTGAGTTCAGCTTTACTTTGTTAGTCAAGTCCATCTAAATCTAAATCCGCATCGATACTACCCTTCTGCAAGATTTACAATGCTGCTGCCTAAAGGTGTCTCTGTTGCTCATCCAGTGGAATGGAGACACCCTTGGGCAGGGAGTGTGTTACTGGCCAGATCACCAGGTGAATATAAAGAAAAAAAAGCCTAAAAAAAAAAAAATGAATGCTGCTACAACATTTAAAGAGGAACTTCACTCTCTCAAGGAACATTGAGTATTTTTAATCCTTTTGCTGCTAGCAACAGTAAATATATTTAAAATAAACAAAGTGCAACAGCGCTTTATAACAGGTAAAAAAAGTTCGACCTCAAAAGTTCGACCAAGAATCGATCTATAGACACACATAAATGTTCATAGGATCAAAAATAGGCAATATGTGAATACAGCTGGAAATCTGGTCCGGGAAATGGCAAGAATGCGCACTCATCGACCGCACATAGGAAATGCGCGTTTATGTATATCCAATCAAAACGAGTGTAGATATCCCACAGAGAGAGATGTCCTCAAACGATCTGCTGGTTAATGGATCAATCACGGCACACGTTCCTTCCGGGTACAGGTATTCCTCCTCTGGATGATATGTAGCTGTGTCTGCCGACCGAAGGGCAGTAGGAGACTTGAAGCCAAGAAGAGTGGAGATTGCTAGGCTGAGCTGACACAGAGTGCTGCAATCTCCACTCTTCTTGGCTTCAAGTCTCCTACTGCCCTTCGGTCGGCAGACACAGCTACATATCATCCAGAGGAGGAATACCTGTACCCGGAAGGAACGTGTGCCGTGATTGATCCATTAACCAGCAGATCGTTTGAGGACATCTCTCTCTGTGGGATATCTACTCTCGTTTTGATTGGATATACATAAACGCGCATTTCCTATGTGCGGTCGGTGAGTGCGCATTCTTGCCATTTCCCGGACCAGATTTCCAGCTGTATTCACATATTGCCTATTTTTGATCCTATGAACATTTATGTGTGTCTATAGATCGATTCTTGGTCGAACTTTTGAGGTCGAACGTTTTTTACCTGTTATAAAGCGCTGCACTTTGTTTATTTTATTTATACCGACGGTGGTTGTGATCATCTTCAGTGCTATTAGCTGCTTACTTGATTATTCTATTAGTAGCGCTCACTTTATTGCATATTATTAGTAAATATATTTACTTGTTTTAAACTTTTTTTTACATTTATTCAGTTACTTCCTGGTTTCCATGTCTTGGCAAAGGATGTCATACATCCCAGGAGTCTTCAGGAGGAGATGAGGAGTTTTCTGAGCTAAGCACCCCCTCCTCCCATCTGCATGCATAAGCTAAGGACAGATGGATTCCAGGAAGTAAATGTTACGTGAATCATCTTCCCTTACTCAAGATGGCCGCAGCCAGAAATGCTAGGGTGGTATTTTTAAACATGATTTCTCAGCAAAAGAAAGCATGGAGACATGGATAGATGGGTGAATGACTGTTTTTGATTTGTGGCAGTTTAGCTCTGCTTTAATGATTGGTAAGCTATAACATATTAAACGTTTGTTTTGGGTTTATGGTCCATGCACACTGGCTTAAAAAATGCTGCTTGTAGAGGAGTTTAGCGTTTTGCCTGTAGAAGCAGCTCAATGTTATCTTATGTGTCCATTCACATTAGGTCGTTTAGAGGAATTTTTTTAAGCTCAGCATTTACACTTTTGAGAACAGTTTTCTAGCAGAACAAAATGCTAAATGCACCTAAATGCTAGAAAAACTGCTCAAAATTAGTGTTTTTCTCCCAAGGGCACTGGCATTTTTTTTATTCCAGTGTGCATGGACCCTCAATCTTGCTATCAACCTCCTGCACAGTAGACTGGGAGAGGGAGGAGCAGTGCTAAGAACAAGTCAGGCTCTGTTCTATGCAAATGAGTTGACAGGAAATGTTTTAAAAGAAGGAGAGAGTAGAGTGAGTAAAGTTGATTACTTATCACTGTGTTGATGCTCCTTCATTGTCCAGTCATGAGAGACGAGGTGCTGATATCCTGGACAGGTACTTTAAAGTATATGCTATTTCTAATGATATTCTCTTATTTGCTCCTTGGTCTGTTAAATATACCATTGAAAGCATTTTGTTATAACTGTTCAGGAAAAAATAATTACAGAAATTCGATGAGCTATGAACTACGAACTTGAAATGCTCTCTGCCTCTGAAGATTATCAGTTAGCATTGTTCCCAGTTCTCCCTGTGGAATTTCCCCTATGTTTTGGAGGTGAGGAGAGGGGAGGAAGTTTGTAGTCCCAACACACTATCTGTCCTAGATTGACAACACTCTTACTCAATTACAATGAAGGAGTGTAGTCAATGTAGGATAGAAATTGTGTTTCTAATAGGATCACCAGGAAAAAGCATGAAAAAAATGAATGCAGCCACATGGGCCAATGGCTGGTAAGCAGCAATTTTTAAAATGTATGTTTTTGGGTTTAGATATACTTTAAAGCCGAACTCTAGATATAATATTATTGTTTATTTGCGTTCAGCTTGGACCAATCAAAGTGTCCATACCTCATACCAGAGTGATTGCTGTGGAAGCAGCAAATTGCTGTAGTAGTCACGGCTACTAAGTATCAAATCCAACCTACCAAACTACCTGAACCAGTGCAGGGGTTTCAGCAACAAAATCAAGTGTTTAAAAAGTGTCACCCTCCCCCCTCACTCCTAACTGTTGACAGAGTTTGCCCTCTCCATGCCACACATTCCTGCTTCACTGCCTAAAAAGAGTGCTTTGAGAGAGGATGTGAGCAGGCAAGCTTCAAGACAACCAAGAAGTGCTGTAAATTTGCATGCCAAAATGGTCCCTTTTTCGGCCTTAACAGCTGATCTTATTTTATTACAGAGTTGCATTAATGATTTTAAAGTATAATATATCTTCCATGTGTTCTGCCACTTTGGAACTAGAATCCAAATAAGCAATCATGACAAAGGTCAGGGCAACATACACATTGACTAAAGTAACAATTGACTTTACTGTGGAGTGATTATTTTTACTTCAGCACAGCTGCTATCTACATTTCAGTCATCAAAGAATTAATTAATCTCTATGGTGAACACAGTTATCAGAATGAATTAAAAGATCACTAACCGCTTCGGACATCATTTGACACTGCATGCTCAACTGTAAGAGCATCTATTAAATCGGTAGTAAACCGGCCACATAAAATCCTGAATAATGGGCCACCAGCAGTATTAGGCCATAATGTACTAGTATGCACCACATGTTAGTACATTATGACAAACATACCTATACATGGAGCCCTCCAGCGCTGCACTGTCATGGCTCCCCAGCACCTCCATCTTCCAGGTCCAGGAGCCCTTGGCTGGACTATAGTGAGTTTCTGCAAAACACAAAAAGCACTAAAAACTGCATAGGTGTGAACTAGGCCTTAGAGTAAACCAATCAAATTACTTGTTATGGATATTGACATTGCATGCTCAACTTTAGGAGCATCTATTAAATCAGTAGTAAACCGGCTACAAAAAAATCATAAATAATGGGCCCTCAGCAGTGTTAGCTCATAATGTGCTAGTATGCACCACATGCTAGTACATTATGACAGACATGGAGCCCTCCAGCTCTATCTTCTAGGTCCAGGAGCCCTTGGCTGGATTATAGTGAGTTTCTGAAAAACCCGAAAAGCGCTAAAAAAAACCGCATAGGTGTAACCAGGCCTTAGTGTAAACCAGTCAAATTACTTGTTATGGGTATTGTCAGTGTTTCTATATTGTGTTTATACTTTGTAAATATTGATTGTCTTAGTTTTTAATGTAATTTTTTGTTGTCAGTAAAAAATGTTCTCCGTCAGTAAATTTTCAATGTTTTGTCAGTAAAAAATTTTGCAGGAGGTTGGCAACACTGGCTCCCATCTGTAAACTAAGTATGAGTACATATATGAACTTTATTATAAAAAGATTTGTTATTAATAACAGAAAGAACATGTGTGATTTGATATTCATTTGTAAAATGGCATTCTATATAAAGTACATAGTGACACAAACTGTCTTTCACCCTTTTCAGGTTTAGTTTTGTTGCCTCGTCTTCCCAGCTTCATATCATTAAATTGGAATTCATGGAGTTAAAGTATCGTCTTTTAGCACTTTTAGTCTTAGCAGAATCCAAGCTTAAGTCATGGATCATCAAATATGGAAGGCGAGAGTCTGTTGAACTGCTTCTGCAAAATTACATTGTAAGTTATCATTCACCCCTATTTTCAGATACATTGACTTGATTAAATACAGCTGTGGTCCATCATCTGATGATAGATACAAAGCCAGGACTATTGTTTATATGGTTGTCTTTCTTTAGTTGGGAATGTGCTAGACAATGGGAAGTTGTAACTTGATGACTAGGAATGAGCTGTAGTTCACATATCTGCTCTGAAAACTGGGGATCAAAGTGTGGTTTTGAGTGCTGTAATAAAGTTTTCTAGGAGGACACTTATCAACATACTTTATGTTGAGCAAACCAAAACTGATTACATACAGGAGTTTGGGTGCTCTCCATCACCTCTTCTCCAGATCATGACATGTAACATTAGATATCTACAATGTATTAATGCCTGTAGTAACACAGACCAATGCTCCTGCTTTGGATACAGAATAAAGAGCATAAACAATAAAGAATGGTCACTGAGGGGTTAACACATATTATTGAGACTAGTCACTGGGAAATTAACACATACTATGAAGACTGGTCACTAAGGGGTTACTGACTATACTCTGAAAACTAGTAAATAGGGTGCGAATAAGTAGACACTCAAGAGTAGTCATTGAAGACTGGTCATTGTGGAAATAACACTCATACTGTAGAGAATTTTCACTGAGGCATTAATACACATACTTTGAAGATTGGTCACTCAGGAGTTAATGCACATACTTTGGAGACTGCTCATTCAGGAGTTAATGCACATACTTTAGAGCCTAATCATTGATGAGTTAATGAATATACTCTAGAGTTGTCACAAGTTAGCCTGCAGCCTCGTGTGTGTTTACTCTTACCTTCTTGCTGCTCTTGATTCCTTCACATATAAGTCTGTGCTAACCGGTGGTCATCGTCTGCTATTCCCTGGGTTTTATGTCCTTCCCTTTCATCACTTCCTGACCCGCCTCCTAGCTGGCTTGTCTATTTAAGGCATGCTCAGTCTGTCCCACTTTGCCTCAGCAACTTCGTGTTGTTGGAGCTCTCGTGTGGTTCCTCTGTGAATTCTTTGTTGTCTATCTGTGTACCGACCCCAGCTTTGTTCCTGACCGTGCTTGTTTTGCACCTGTCCTGACCTCGGCTTGCCCATTGGATTCCCTGTGTCTTCTCCCGTTGTACCCTGCTCCCGCTAGCGGCCTCCTCCACCTCAGCTGGGTGTACCTTAGGGCCGTGACCTGGTCCCAGCCTGATACAAGCCCATCCCCACCATCAGGGGCCCTGGTGAACAAGCAGGCTGGGGCTTAGACTCCGCGCCCTGAGGAACCCAAGCCATGGACCTATAGAGCTCACTACCATAGGCGTGACAAGAGCCTAATAATTGAGAACTTACTGTATAAGTAAAGGCAAACCTTTTTTTCAGTTTTGGATAGAGTGGAGAGGAATTAGAACACCTCTCAATTTTTATTGCTGTCTGTGCCCCTGTTAAGGAGATTCACCATCTCTATTTGTCCTTTTTACCATTATCATTGAAAGTGAAAGTAAAAGTAAAAGAAATCTCCGCAATGGGACACAGATGGTGAAAAAAAAAAATCAGACAGGGGCTACAATCCTCCCTTGCTCTAACCAAAATAAAAAAAAATAGTTTTGCCTAGAGTTCTACTTTAATGCACCTGACTAGGATGGTCATAAAAGGGTTAATGCATATACTGGGGGAGGACCTAAAAAGGTTAAAGCACATACTGTTGGGACTGATCATTGAGGGGTTGACGCACATAATCTAGAGACTAATCACTAAGGAGTTAAGATATACTTTAGAAACTGGCCACTAAGGAGTTATGCACATATGCTGGAAACTGTTCCATTTAATCACATATTTTGACAACTGATAACAGATTGGGTTAAAGCATGGATAGGTAGTTGAAAAAAAAAGTAAAGGATAATGCTCAAACCTTTATACTGTTTTTAGGGAATGTTATAGTAGAGGAGTGGAGACAGACAGCCAGGATGTGAGGAAGAGTGTAGTCAGGGGTGCTCAATGGCAGGTTCGGAGATAGGTTGGCACTAGCACAGTACTTAATGAGAGGGAACAGCAAGTATGGGTAGACACACAGATAATGATAGGGTGTACAGTTTTGGAGTGGACACTTTGATAACAGTAGCGGATAGTGTTGCCAAAGAGCAATTTGGAAGTAAAAACTGTCACTGGTGGAGGGAAAACTAGAGAACAGAGCATAAAGTCTTCATATCAAACATTGGCTGAATCCATAAAAGCAGGCAAAATCCCCTCGTGGTGAAACCAGAAATGGCCTTAAAGTATTCAGTTTTAATGTGTATAGGATTGCATTATAAATTTGAATTAGATGAATATCTTCAGCATCTGGACCATTGCTACAGTGAGCTGTTTATTCCTTTATTTCAGTGTTAAATCAAATGCAACATATCACCATGGCAACATCTTCTGTAGAAAGCTTTAATAAAGGACTGACACTTCTAACATTTTAGAGTGCACTTGTTGTCTACAGAATATAGACAATCATGTACTTGAACAACCTGACTGGCAGTTCAAGCAAGCTGTTTTTATAATCCATCTAATAATTATGTTAGTATACAAGCTTTTCTTAAGTCATTAGACCATAATAAGAATGAGTTAAAGATTTTTGCTAACTCTGGGAAATTACAATCAGCTGAAATTGGCCTTGCGTAATCTACCATTGTTAGACAGGAAAAACTGACAGTCAGCAAATTTCATTAATGAGAAAGTCAGCTGTATGTTAAAAAATGTCTTAAGTATATCACCTTCATTTTAAATATTTTCTGGCAATGCCCTGCTAAGATTCTATTCATTTTCTTAAGTTCCTATTCAATCTGTTAAGATCCCATTCAAATACAAATATGATCAAAAGCATTTTAGCATAAATCAATAAATAATGCTTAGTGGCCTTTCAAAGGCAAGAACAAAAATGTTTGCATTATCATTATTAAACATGATGTGTATACTTAGTTTTCCCAATTAATTTATTATTTTTCATGTTACAGACGTTTATTGATGGCAGTAGGTTCTTTGAGCAATATGAGTTTACCAGCCAATCTCTTAAGCAAGCAGCTGAGATCTATGTTAAAGCTGAAGGATCAGGTAAGATTTTGTTATTGTTTATTAAAGCCCATAGAAAAGAATATATAATTTAATAGACCATTATTTTCTAAATGATTTGGCTTCTAACCTGTCAATTTATTCTTCTTTTAAACAGTAAGAAAAAAGTGCATGCTGTCAGTAGACATTCAATCTACTCCATCTAGATTTTTTATGTAGATCAGAAAAAAATACAATATCTGATAATTTTGGAGTCTTTTTCACCTTTTACACCTCAACCTTAAAATATGTTTAACTAACTTTTAACTACCATCCCTAGATATAAATCTTCTCTTTACCCATTTGATGACACTTTCAGAATTTCAGGCGCTTTGCAGCACCAATGTGGCATGTGCTGTTTATGGTGCATAGAGAATATTGATTGATGTCCTGCATTGTACATAAAACTTAAAACTTAATCTTATCAACTTAAAACTTAAAACTAAAACTTATTTAAAAACAGTAGTAGCTACAGTCAGGGGCGGACTGACAACTCATGGGGCCCCCGGGCAATAGGGGATCATGGGGCCCATGTGTCCTTGCCCAAACTCAAAAAAGCCTATGAAAAAAGGTACCAGGGGCATCTCATGGGGCCCCCTACTGACCCTGGGCCCTCAGCAGTGCCCGAGTTTCCACATGGTCAGTCCGCCCCTGGCTACAGTTATCATTTAGTAATGTAGATATCAAAGAGACATATACAGTAGGTGTTGTCTAATGCAGTTCCCACAGTGGACATTTGCTATATGTTGTTCCAGAAACAACTTTTATGGTATGAAAGTAGGACAATAATTTACGATTCATTACATCATATTGGCTGACAGCTTAACCCTTTGAGGACCGTAAGGTTTTGGAACACCAAAAGAATCAATTTTTTTGTTTTTAAAGTTCGTACACTTCAGTTGCTGTAACTAAGCCATTTCATGAAATAATTGGCAAAAAGCTAGATCCATTTATTGTTTGTTGATAAGAACTAATATTTGACTCAAACCAAAAAAAAAGAGTTTTAAGTTCTTAATCAGATGATACACGCAATTACAAACATGGGGCAAATACGTCCCTTGATCCTCAAAGTTAACCACTTCCAGTCCAGACACTTTTACCCCCTTCCTGTCCAGGCCAATTTTCAGCTTTCAATGCTATCACACTTTGAATGACAATTGCGCGGTCATGCAACACTGTACCCATATGAATTTTTTAGCATTTTTTTGAGACAGATAAAGCTTTATTTTGGGGGTATTTATTCACCACTGGGATTTTTATTTTTTTTGCTATGTAAATTAAAAAGTCCAAAAATTTTGAAAAAAAGTGTTTTTCCTATAAAATTTTGCAAATAAATAGTATTTCATCATAAATCTTGGCCAAAATTTATTCCGTTATGTTTTTAGTAAAACAAAAATAACCCAAACTAATTTATAACCAAAAATTATAATTTTTAAACTTTTTTTTACATTTTTTATTATTTTTTAATATTATTTTTTATTTATTTATTTATTTTTACATACTGTCACCCTAGCAGTACAGTGTCACCAGGGTGACACTGTACTTCTTGTGAAGGATGATGAAGATTTTTTTTTTTTTTCTATACTGATTGCTTTTACACCCATAAAGGATGTAAAATCAATAATTTCTCCTTCTCTCTAGCTGCATTCTTGCAGCCATTGAGAACTACTGAGTGAGCTGTGATTGGTCACAGCTTGTCACATGGTACAAGGCTGTTGTGAATAGCCTTGTACCATGTGACCTCTGTGATCATTCACAGATTTCACACGTAGTAAGCAATGATGTCAGAAGTGACATCTTGCTTACTACTCTGCATGTGATCACTGACTGGCCAATCAGTGATCACATGATCGGGACCTCACAGAGAGGTCCCGTCCGACGATCGGTGTTCCATTGTGTCCGGAGGACACAGCGGGCTCAGGATCGCGGTGCTGCGCACTCCCAGGGAGCACGCACAAGCAGGGTGCGGGAAGGCCGTTTATAAACAGCCTCCCGACCCTGCACTGCCACTGTCCGGCCGTTTATATACAATGGCCGGACGGGAGGTGGTTAACTTACAAAGAGAAGAAAAGGTGATGCTTCTTTTGCAATATGGGTGTATATTCTTTTCTCCGACTGTATGTAAATGGCAGGAGTGGGGACAAATGCAGCAAACTTGTTTCTTTCTTGATCATGCAATAGGCATGGAAAATTAAAGAAAAAATGTTGGTATAAGTTTTTTTTATTGCAAAAATTTGAGCAAATACTGATCTGGTTCTTTAGTATATGTGTAAGGTTTGAGGCTAGCTGTCCACAGTTCACTTGTTTCCAATTGAACAGACCCTTGGAACATCTTTCTTATTGGCGATGCACATCCTATGTTCAGGGCATTCCAACTGATATCTCCATAGCTTGTGAATTGCTAACCTCTGCTTAAACATATGGGCAGCACAGTGGCTAAATGGTTAGCACTTTCGCCTGGCAGTACTAGGATCGTTGGTTCGAATCCCAGCCACGGCACTCCCTGTGCATGCCGGTTTCCTCCAGGTAATCCGGTTTCCTCCCACACTCCAAAGACATGCTGGTAGGTTAATTGGATCCTGTCTAAATTGGCCCTAATATGTGTATGTATGAATGTGAGTTAGGGACCTTAGAGGGTTAGGGCCTGATGTGAATGTACAATATATATATATGTGTAAAATGCTGCTTAAAAATTGATAGTGCTATATAAGTACCTGAAATAAATAAACAGCAGAACTGTTCCATAGACTATAGTCAATACCCATAAAGGTAGCACACCATATATATATATTACATCCCCGTATACCATATAAACCAAAACAATTTGTGTCATATGCACACTCTTTCTACAAAAAAAGTCCTTTTGTGATCATGAAATTTATTCACTGTGTATTGCTTATCTCCTTAACATTCAGTATTCTCCACCAGAGTCCCACTACCATTTACACAGTGCGCTCACCTGAACACATTGACCTATGTGATAAAAATAGGTCATGGCGCAGAGTCTCCTTTAAGGGGTCTTAATTAGCTTCTTAGGGTGCCCCTGGACTTTTTTTCTCTGGATATCCCTCTCCTCTCCTTAGTTCTTATTCTTGATACCAGTCATAATCCACAACCATGATCAGGAGGTTCCTCAGCTCAACACAAGTTAAAAAATCTCATGGAATTATACCTTTTTTATAAATTATAACACTTTATTAAGAGAATAAAAGTATCACACTCAGAAGTAAAATGCACTAGAATGTTAGTGCACCACCATAGACCAGTTTTAAAGTTAAGTGTGCATTGCCACCATATGGTATAGGCTCCAGCATCACTCACAAGCCAACCCAGCAGCGACTTCCAGGTAATGTAACGACATCACTAGGCTCCACCCCAACACTTTTCATCACAGTCTGTAACTTCCTTGGGTGACTTGTGAATTATATATTTCACAAAGAGTGTGGATATGACACAAATTGTTTTGGATTATATAGTATATTTGTTTATTACAGAAATGGGTATTTATATAAAAAGGGCATGGAAATATATATATATATATATATATATATATATATATATGTGTTGTGCTGCACTTTTTGATGGCTTGATGGATGATTAATGTTAGGTGTGGGAAACACATTTCAGTGTAAACAGTAACATACTGAGACATGGACATGTAAATTGTTTTTTACACAAGGTTTATTAAGAGGTATAACACTGAGATACACTGATTGAGATTTGCGAGAAGTATTCATATAAAAACAATACTCAATATGCTTTTCATTCCATGGTTTCTAATTTCTGTACTTTAAATCTTACATATCTTTTTATCGCCAAATTAGCGGATTCAGACTGTGTTTCTTAACACCACAGATACCCTTTTTAATTACGGAAGATTTTAGGCATACAACTGTCTACCATCAGGAAATCATGTATGTTTATATATTGCTTGTATGCAGCTGAAGAAGCTGAAAGCGTGACAAAGTTTTTACATGAGACTACAATCCAGTGGAGGAACTTATCGGTGGAAGTCAGAAGTGTCAGAAGCATGCTTGAGGAAGTCGTTTCAAACTGGGATAAATACAGTGGTACAGTGGCCAGTTTACAAGCTTGGCTGGAGGATGCTGAAAAGATGCTTGACCAGCCAGAGCATGCCAAAAAGGTATGTAGCAAAACTAAATTTACAAAGATATACTTCCTGGGCTTAAGGACCATGTTTGATAGAAGGTAAAAACTGCCATATTTCCCTATATCTACTAGTGAGTGGGCTTCAAGTGAACCTATGATTAGCTCTTTAGTGCAAAGATTACCAGTAAGCGTGTGTACGGACCTAAGATTACTCAGTGTGTATAATGGTACCAACATTCCAAATACAAACAATAGTAGAGTAGAGTAATGGACATTTAACGTACTGGAAAAAAAGCAATTAAGTACTTATGGTATCTGAAATCATCATCATTAATCATTTTTATTTGTTACAGTCATAAAATTGTGCATAATCGAGCCCAATACCAGACTCACACATTAAAAAAACCTCTTAGGATCTTAGGAACAATACCACCATGATCATATTCTCCAGGTTCCCCATCTATTATTTTGAATAATGAGAGCACCATTTTCTAAACTTATGTATATATATATATATATATATATATATATATATATATATATATATAAATGGGTGCAGCGCTAAAAAAGAGAACATCTAAAACATATATTGATAGTAAAGTGCTCAATTAGTATGTTCAATAATCTCTGAGACTATACATGACACACAATAGTGCATATAATAAAGTGCAAGGATTATAGTTCACATATATAATATCCATGTCACTACGCCGTGACTAATCAAAGATGCGTGTGATAATCGTCCACAATATCCCAGTGGGCTAGGTGCATAAACGATCTCAAAGATCCCAGTAATATGGTGAAAGGTGATAGAGTATCCAAATTGATAAAAAGACTGCGCACTCACCAGATGCGCAGACAGTATGCGCATGTAAGAGATTACCCCTCTTAAGGTTAACCGGAATTCCCTCTGGGTGTGTGGTCTGGTCTGCTGCCGCTCTCTGCTCATTCAGCTAATCAGCATGGCTCTAACCTTCTTATACGTGACTCTGTGGGTAGTGGGAAGCTCACACAGAGCCCCAAAAAGAGGAGGCCGAATAGCGTAATACTGTTTCCAATATTGAATTTCATTGTATCCAGCAGAAATATAAAACAAAAAACACAGCTACTGACCAGATTGTAGATTCAAGATGGCTGCCGGGCCCTCGTGGCGCTGGCGGAGTGACGCCACTACACTGTAGCTCCTCCCTAATAAATATATATATATATATATATATATATATATATATATATATAGCATAGTAGCAACATTATTGGAGAAAGTTGAGCAATTGTCTCTATGCCTTTTGTTAAATAATTCCAAATTCTCCAGGGGTTAATGGTGGGTAAACAATAGAAATGATAAAAATCATCCGTATGCAATCATGTCATTGCCATGCTTGGGATCACAAACACCTGCAGGCAGGGCCAGTGCTAGACTATTTTGCGCCCTAGGCAGGACCAGCTACTTGCGCCAACCCATCAAAATAAAATGTTTTAAAAACAGTAGAAAATATTAAATCAACAAAACATGAAACTGCTAAATTTCTTTTAATTTGAAAAAATAAGTTCCATAAGATGTCACTAGCACCAGTATTAACCACTTGCCTACTGGACACTTATACCCCCTTCCTTACCAGGCCAATTTTCAGCTTTCAGTGCTGTCGCACTTTGAATGACAATTGCGTTGTCATACAACAATATACCCATATGAAATTTTTTTTAAAAATTTTTTTTAAAAATAGAGCGTTCTTTTGGTGATATTTACTTGCCTCTGGGTGTTTTACTTTTTTGTGTTATAAACAAAAAAAGAGCAAAACATTTGGAAAAAAAAAAGTTTCTTAGTTGCTATTATAAAAATTTTGCAAACGGGTAATTTTTCTCCTTCACTGATGTGCGTTGATGAGGCTGCACTGATAGGCATCACTGATGGGCACTGATAGGCATCACTGATGGGCACTGATAGGCAGCACTGATGGGCAATGATAGGCAGCACTGATGGGCAATGATAGGCGCACTGATGGGCACTGATAGGCGACACTGATAGGCAGCACTAATGAGGTTGCACTGACAGGCGGCACTGATGAGCGGGCACTGATGATGGGTACTGATAGTCGGCACTGACTGGCGGCACTGCTGGGCTCTGACTGGCGCAACTGCTGGGCACTGGCAGCACTGCTGGGCGCCACTGACTAGCGGCACTGCTGGGTTGCACTGATTGGCACTGGTGGATGGCACTGGTGGGCACTGCTGGGCACAGGTGGGTGGCACTGCTGGGTACAGGTGGGTGGCACTGCTGGGCATAGGTGGGCAGCATTGCTGGGCACTTGTGGGCGGAACTGGTGGGTGGCACTGCTGGGCACCAATCATCAGGGCACCGATCGGTGCCTATCCCTGCTCTGACAACTGCCGGTTCTTGGCAGTACTTTCCTCACACAGCAGAACTGGCTGGCTGCAGTGCAGCCGTCATTAGGCTACCTGCGGTTGGCAACTAGTTAAAGACAAAACCAGTGTCACAGATAGACTGTACCTGTGGCTGGCAGTGACAGGGTGACAGTTGCAGTCAGGGGATGATGATAGAGCCACACTGACAAATCCCAGGCTGGAATTCCCCAGGTAATGGGGGGAGATAATATGCTGTGACTGCAGGCAGCTGAATTGAGCAATCCCACACAGTGACAGATCTGGCACAACAACACCAGCACCAACAATTACACAGATCAGTAGGTCCAGCTGGCACTAGTAGAGCAGGCTGTGGGATAATGATGTCATCACTCACTGACACATTGCACATGTGATGGATGTCCGGCTGGTCGAGTCACTCTCACACAGACTTGAGATATCAGAGTCAGACATTACCTTTCTCCGCAGGCACAGTTCCGCCTCTGCTGATGAATGGGAAGAGAACGGCTGGACCTCCACAGTGGTCTGAGAGGGACACTGGAAGGAGCGGAAGCTCAGCTGTTACACTGGCCTCAGACATCCGGCATCTTCCTCTTTCCTTTCTTCCTCCCTTCTGCCACCCCTCCTCTCAGCTGAAGGATTATTCATGATGTAGCAGCATCCCACACAGAGAGAGTAAAGGCCTGTGCTGCTCCCAGGCGCCCCTAGGTGGATGCCTAGTTTGCCTAGTGCAAACACCGGCAGAGCCTGCAGGATAACAATGAGGCTTCAGTTTTGATAGAAGTTGCTGGTAGACCTTGAGAGGTTGTAATATTCAAAACTTCCACAAACTGACATTGTTTGAAGGGTTTTTCCGGGGGTTTATTTCCAGTGGACCATTTGGTCTGGTTTACACATCCTTTATATATAGTTCTGTGGGGTTGTATTCACCTGTGATCCCTGGCAGTGCCTTATTCCTGCCTTGTAAATGCTGATCTCTACATGATTGCATATGGATGATTTTTATCATTTCTATTGGTTACCCACCATTAACTCCTGGAGAAATTGGAATTATTCAACAAAACATGCAGAGCTGATTCTTTATCTATCTCAAATAATGTTGCAATCAGGGGCGGACTGACAACTCATGGGGTCCCCGAGCAACAGGGGATCATAAGGCCCCTGTGTCCTTGCCCAAATTCAAAAAGCCTATGAAAAAGGTACCAGGGGCTTCTCATGGGGCCCCTACTGACCCTGGGCCCTTGGGCAGTGCCGAGTTTCCAAATGGTCAGTCCGCCCCTGGTTGCAATTATTCTATATATATGTTCTTTTATAAGATGGTGTTCTGATTATTCAGAATAATAGACAGGCAGCATGGGGGATTATCTGCAGTTGGGGTCAGATGTATGAGACTGTACACAGTCAGCTGTGTCTAGGCTCTGACATCTGTCCATTACCACAGGTATCTGCTTGGTGTATGGCTACATGTGAACAGCACCAGCTACTGTCAGCCTGTCATTTGTTTATATTGGCTGAGCAGTGTCAGCTATTAACATTGCAATTATTCTATATAAATGTTCTTTTGTAAGATGGTGTTCTCATTATTCAGAATAATAGACAGGCAGCATGGGGAACATGAGCATGGTGGTGTAGTTCTTAAGAGGTTTTATTATGTGAGAGTCTTGTTGTATCAGGCTCAATCATGGGCAATTTTCTGACCGTTCAAATGAAATTTATAAATGTTTATGCAACTTTATGAATTTTATCGCTTTTTTTGGTACCTTAAAAGTCCCTTACTCTTTCTCCCCTACATATCCTTTACAGTAAAGAAACACATACTTGTTTTCCTTTTGTTTTGGCCACCAAAAACAAAGATGGCAAGTCTTGTTTAAGTTCCAAGTCATGACTTACAGAGAGCTAAAAACTTTATACCCACCTTCTTCTGACTGTGCTAGGTGCATTGAGCAAGTAATCACCAAGTACTCTAATATGAAAGGAAGGGGACTAAGTCACATGCTCCTTAGACCTGGTAGGACCAGTTATTTTTCATTGGCTCCTACATTACCTACATCCAAAGTGGTGAGTTTATTGGAAGGTAAGTATGTGCAGATATGCAGGGCAACAGTTAGTAAACCTGTTGTTTTGATCTTCATTACCAAGTGATGACACACCAAAAGCTGTGATCTTTAATCATTTGTCATTGGTGTTTTGACATTTGTAACCCTTCATAACATCTAATGTTTTTCAAGGACCCCTGATGCATATCTGTTCTCTTATTTACCCCCAAAAGTATACAAAACTATTGTCTATATGTCCAAAGTAGTAATCTAAAACTAAATTAAAAAAACATTTCTAGCTTGAGTTGGGGTTTAAAATAATCAGAATTGGAGCATTTCTGAATATCTTGGAGCTACAGTTACATGTAGTCCCATCCTGACAAAATTAAATGGAATTATTCTAGATTAAGTCTGTTAATGACTTGTTAATCTTTGTACCTTAAAGGTATAACAGGGCATATGTATCTTGTTCTGTGCATCTATTTAGGAATATTAGCTAACTCTAGCATTCTGGATAGCCTAACTGCATTCACAATTATTATTGCCATGGAAACACAGACTTACCAACATTGCAACTAGTGAGTTAATTATAGAACTATTTGGTTATCCATTGTGC